AGGGGGGGTGCCTTCCGATATGACCACGCCCCTCCGTGTGACCACGCCCCCTCGCTGCGGCGCCGTCCCGGTCCCGCCCGCCCGTTAACGGGGCATTGCCCGCCGGGGAGGGAGGCGGAACGGACGGACCCGGCCCCCCGCTACCGCCCTGTGTAAACCCTGCCCCGCCGCAGCAAGGGCAGCCCAAGGGTTTTCCCCACCTTAGAAAGTTTGTTTTGTTTTTTTTTTTTCCCCAAAATAAATACATATTTTTTAAATTTTATATTATTTAATTGTTTTTTTTTTTTTTAATTTCTGCAGCAGAGGGTGAAAATACAACACACAAGATGGCTCTAAAAACAACCAGGACAAGGGCTTGGCATTGTTCGTTGGTTTTTTTTTTTTTTCCAATTAACCCCTAAACAGGGGCTTAACAAGGGGTTAAATTAACCCCTAACGCAGAGAGGAATCCAGTTTCAAGAAATCCAACTTATAAATTATTTTTGCCCTTCGAGTCCCTGCACCAGCTCCGGAGGGATGGCAGCGCTCCAGCTCTTCCCTGGCCAGCATCTGTGCATCCAGCTGGGCTATACAGAAGACAGAGGAATGGGTCGGTGTCATTATCCCAAAGTTTCCTTGTATTTTTGGAGTGCTGGACTTAAAAACATCCCTATAACCCCCACCAGCACAGGAAGAGACTACAGGATTCCTGGAGTTAACTCCATTTCTGGAGAGAACAGAATGGTGGCATTACAAAGGAAAAAATCATTTTTTCTTTGCCTGGATAACCAAAAATAAAAGTATTGTGTCCTATTGTCAATTTTATTTCTGCTAATTAGTGCTTAAAACTAAAAAAAAAAAAAAAAAAAAAAAAAAGCTCATTTCCAGCCATTCCCATGTCCACCGGGAATGCAGCCAGACCTGGCATGACTCTTCCCGGTCCGGGCGTACAGCGGGGATGGGACAGGTTTAAGCTGTAGGAAACAAACTGCAACGTGGCTAAGCCGGGTTTAATTTCTGGTTCTCTTCTCATTTGCACCCAGATCACTCCCCGGGCTTTGATGCAGCTACTCCCCCAGGAACAGTTTCCACGCCATAGTCAAGGTGGAGCATTTTTGGCAAGACCGAGTCTCTCACTGCCAAAGCGCACATGCGGGTGGTGCCACTTCCCTCGGTCGGAGGGATGGTCCAAGGGCAAATCTGGACCGGGAGAGACACCCTTGTCTGCACCTTCCCCTTCCTCTCTCCCCAGGACAGGGCAGGCGTGTCTGCACCCTGGACTCCCCATGCAGCTGAGCCACAGACCTCGGGGACAGTTCGTGCTCCTGTCCCCGGCTCCGCAGGACCCCCGAAAAAGCCCCCAGAGGCTAACTGGTTTTCTTCATGCTGGACATACTCTGCTCAGGCGGCAGGACCGTCTCGATCTGAAACGACACAAACTGGCCCTTCTTCAGCTTCTTCAGGGAGCTGGCAGCGTTGTTCCCAAACACATTGTCTTCCACTTTGAAGGCAAGAGAGGGCAGGCCCCGACTTTTCCTTTTCACTCTCTTCCGCTCCCGCTTGTAGGCTGCGGTCATGTTGGCGATGACCTGTAAAGCAGATTGCTCGGGTTGGGCCTTGAGACACCACTTAAAAAAAAAAAAAATAAATCAACTCGCATCCGTCTCATGCGAGCTCAGGGAGTGAGCGCCGGCGCTGCAGCGTGCAGAGCTCAGCTTGGCGAGCCAAGGCCGTGGCGGCAAGCACCTGCACAGCTGGTTACACCCGGGGGCAAGGGAGGCACTAAGCAACGTCTTTCCAGCCATATTCTCACCACCAAACTAGCAGGAGACCTTACATTAAGAAATTGTGATTTTGTGGCCACGCTTAGAGAAGCCGCCAGTTCTCCATCAGTAGAGGGCAGAAGGGGATCTAGGCTGGAGTAACACAGAGCCAAGGGAAGCTTTTATCACCTCCTGTTAATTACAGCCCCAATGCTGGCCCAGCTGCAGGCAAGCGTCAGCAACATGGACACTAGAAGTGCCCTTCCGGACAGGGCAGGATGCTTCGGTGTTACCCAGAGGGAGCTCTCACTGTCCCGTGCCACGAGGTGCATCTCCATTTCACAAAAGGGGAATCCGAGCTAGCGAGCTTGAGCTGCCGAAGGGACAAGCTGGGAACAGATCCCACACGTTCAGCTCCCAGGCCTCCTCCCTCCTGTCCCATTTTACTGCTGCTATTCCCCAGCAGGAAGAATCACAGCCCCGGTGGGATCAGAGAGGACCACATAACCCTGTCTAATTGTAAGAAATGACTGAGCAAACAAAGCACTTGAGCCTTGTCTATTATTTTTTGGCACACAGATCACCAAGCACTTTACAGGGGACACTGAGGTCACTTTTCAAGTCAGGAAACCAAGAAACAGAGAGACAAAATGACTTGCCCAAGGTCACCCAGCACATTAGAGACAGTCAGGAACTGAATGCTGGCCTTGCTCCCCAAACCCAGCTCTCTGCCCACTGGGCCACAAGTCTTCATGGTAGCCCCAACCTCCCCAGTTTCCCCCCCTCCCATTTTGGGGCAGGGTTACTTTTAACCTTCTTAATTACACAGTATGTCCCTAAAGGCTTTTTGTCCCTGCCTAAGGACGGACTGCCTTTGCTGATTTGAGATGCAGATTACAAGGCGGAGTGCTGGGCAGGCTGGGACACAGCTCTAATTAGCCTTGATGGGGTAAGCCAGTCCCTCGTATTTCATCACGGCTCTGAGCAGCAACACCACCAGCCTCCCTGTGGCACCAAATGGTGCCTGCTCAGAGGGTCCGGCCCTGCTTCTGCTGTCCTTGGCACACACTGAGGTGCCACCAACCACCTCTCCTCTCAGGCCAGTCCTGTGGAGTCTCAGGCAGTGCTTAACCAGCTTCTGCCTCGCTCCTTCCCAGCCGGACACACGGCTTCCCTGCCACGCTTGAGCCCACCAGCTACCTGCCACGCTTGGTGACCGGAGAGAGCCTGCAGGCAAAGGACTCCTGTGAGGTGGCACTTCTGGACAGGCAGGGCCAGGGGTTCTCTCTGAGCGCCTGAGCAGGCGCACGCTGTGCCGTGATCCTCGTATGGGCCAATCCCTTCTGTGCAGCTCTTACACAGCCCCGTGCAAGGGACCCTGTGGGGGCTGAGCTGCTTTTAAAGCACCACAGGACTTACAATTTCTTTCACCGCGTTCTGCTGCTCCTGAACTGCGGCTGTGAATGGTGGGAGGCTGTCTGCCTTACCAGAGCTAGCCCCCTGCTCTTTAGAGTCCTTGGCAAAATCCACCTGCAAGGTACAGATATTTGGGTGTTAGTCCGTAACCGTGCCAGTGGCCAACCTCCTTCAAGACTCT